ATACTATAAAGGAGAATCTCACATGGTGAAAATGGCTAAAGAAAATACATAAAGTAATGATAAGAATCGATATCTAGATAATTTTACATAATTGATGGTTACTTGAGAACCAAACAAATAACTCCTTGAGGTTAAATATTAAAAATAAGTGAAATGTCATAAAATATGAAAACCAATAATAATTTATTTGCTCTATAAGTTATTAAACTTGTAATTATATCTAATTGAACAATAATTTTTTATTATTAAATTTACTATACCATTTTCAAGCTATTTGGACTCTAGGTAACAAGTTTTATGCACGTAGTAAATGATATAATAAAAGAAATTTTGGTAAATTGGATACAATTAGATGTTTACGGTATGTCTTCTTGCATACTACTTATGAACCTCAAAAGTTTGCCTCCTTTCACAAAGTTTTTTGGTACCAGCAATGCATCTAAGTTGCTTATGATATGTTTTCTTAGATATCACTAACTTCCATATCCATAATACCATCAGTGTTGCAGAAATCGGCCTAATCGGCCGATTAATCGCTAATCGGACCTGCACCGATGAGATTTATTGCTAATCGGTCACTATAATCGGGCTTGGTCAATGCAGGTCAAAGTCGGAATTAATCGGACCTAATCAAGCCTAATCGGAGTTAATCGGACCTAATCGGGTTTGGTCAATGCAGGTCAAAATCGGACCTAATCGGACCTAATCGCCGATTAATCACATTTTTTGGAGAATTAAAGTTAGATCTATAAATTTTTTAATAATTTTCTTAAGAATTAATGGTCTTCGATTAATCTCCCGATTAATCCCCGCCTAGCCGATTAATCCTTAATCGCTAGTCCACCGATTAGCGATTTCTGCAACCATGATATATATATATATATATATATATATATATATATATATATATATATATATATATATATATATATATATAGGGTTAGGTTATTTTGTTTCTACTAACTATTGTGTGTCAGAATGCACATATATGAACCATTGGATTGAATATAATCAAATATCATGATCTGAGGGTCTATAATAGTGGAATAGGATATGATGTACCATATAATCACAAAAATTTCAGCGTAAGGGCATGATTTTCAAGGAGCTACGTCAGCCACATTTAATGCCAGAAACCGCTTCAAATTCAAATTCTATTTCCATATAAAAAGGGGTTTTGGGGTTCATTCCAATTTTATGCATTCTGCAAATCCCCAAATCAAAAAAACTTTATGTCTTCTTCACCGATTCTTCAAACCCTAACCATGGCTACACCAAATGTCAATGTTGATCCATCAGAAACCACTGATGACACCATATCGTAACCGATGATGAAGATTCAAAACACAAACTTTCAAGTTCAAGCAGATGTCTCTGTTTACCATGAGGAATTGAAGATGCTCATCGTTGCTCTTCAAAATTTTGTATTATCAAAGGTGATGTTCAATTCTTTTTCAGTACCAGTTTCTTGGCTGTCTCTTGCTGGTTCTACGGCTACTTATAGCAAGACAATGAACACAATGACTTTTCAAATGATGAATGAAAAGAACTTTCCATTGTCAAATAAGACTTTTGCCCAGATTCTCAGTATTCCTAATGTTGAACCCTTCTATAAGGTAATGAATGAACAAATCATTCATATGTTCAATGAGATGGGTTATCAACGTATTCTTACTAAAATCAGTGAATTTAAGAAGTCTGTATTACCTTGTATATTGAATTTTTTTCTTTGGGATATATCACTGTCGCTTAACTGGAAGAACAGTAGGGTTGGATAAAGGTCATTTACAGGTTTATGCAATGGTGGCAGGATTATACTACGATTTGTCGGTGGATTATGCAAGTCAACTCTAGAATGAGTTTGTGGAACGTGTCGGGAACACGAATGCAGTTGATGGGATTTCGTGTGCTCGTTACTCGAGCTTAATTTTACAATTTGCTTTTGAGAAGGAATGTATTTTGGTTCCAGAAAACGGAAAAACTGTTGAATTTGTGATGTTTCATCATCTTAAAACTGTTGAAGATGATGAGGAAAATTTTCTAACTATTGCAAGAATTCCAGGCGTAATGCTTCGCAAGGTTGATCCATCTCACCCTGTATTTCTGAGCTATTTGAAAATGATTAATCCTGATATTGAAACTGGTGTTTGTTAACTACAAACACTAGCCCATCAAAGAAGAAAAAGGGGTCTAAGAAAGCTACAAAGGAAAATCCATCAACAACACAACCTGAGCAAGTTGAGAAGGTTGGTAAGTCTGCTACAAAGAAGAAAGTGCACACTGAGCCACCTCCGATGGTTGTTCCTAAACTAATTTCGAAGACTGTAATGGAAGTCTTACCTTCGAAATCTATTGTGTTGAAAAAGTTGAAAAAGATGGCTCATAAACCTCGCCATTCTCTTGAAAGATCGAAAAGTTTTTCACCAACTTCTAGAGTCAAGTCACAAGTAAGTCGAAAGGGGGTTCTGTTTTGTGAAGTTCAAGTATCTGTTTCTACAGCTTCGAAGAAACAGAGGGCAGAAGACATGGTCAAACGTCTTTCCAAGAGACAAAAGAAGAAGCTAAGGAAGTTAGTTATCCATGATGATTCAATGGGTGAGGAAGTTTTTCCTGAGTCTCCAATTTAAGATGATCAAATGGGCCATTCTTCATCTGTGAGGGATTCTCCACTCAAGTCAAATCTCGAGGCGACTGGAAATCCTGATGGTAATGTGGAAACTTCTAAAATTGACACACCCATCAATCCAGGTGAACAAACGAAGACGTCTACTCCTGAACAGACTCAAGTTATACCACCCTGAGTGTCGACTTCCAAATTCATTCATGAGGAGGTTCGCGCTTCAGAGTATCGAATACAGCTGCCCAAGGTAATCCACATCTTATTGTCTCCTATACCTTCGAAACATCTCTTGTTGATACGACAATTTCTTTACCTCCATTTCTTATTCTCACTTTAGCCAAATCACCACCATCAACTCATTCACCTACTTTCTTGATAATATCATGCAACAACCCATTACGTCCTTATTCCCATCCCAATCCGTAGAAGGTCCCAAAACATTTAATGATGATGAAGCTGATGATGGTGGGTTTGCAGGTTCTTTTGCTGCTATAGAGTTTGACCCTAATGAGGAGGATATTCCCGATCACATGCTGATGCCTCGGAAGCAATTTAAAATTCTTAATCGGAAGCTTAATTCATTACTATAATTACAAGCAGATGTTGTGTAGCACCTGGTTCCTGTTTTGACCATAAGGAGGAAGGGAAAGGCTTGACCAGGGGAAACCGAGTTTGTGCATCTTCCATAGTTCATTGGAGGTATAAAGCTGTAAACTTGCTCTTTCATTTGATAGATCCCTTTTTAGGGAGATTTAGGGCTTTTATAAGCCATTTTTGGTAACCAACCGTGATTGTAAGCATGGTTGGGGGTTGAGGCTTCAAAACCAAGTCATTAAGGGAGTCACAAGGCAGTTAGGGGTTGCTTTTGCACCCATCTAAGGTCCCATGCATCATAAGAGCTTATTTTATGTCCTTTTGAGCTCAAAGTCCCATGCATGCACGTACATTTTGTAACTTTACGTGCTAGAACGATTGAAGGAGCTTAGATCTATCTTTTGGTCAAGAGTTGTACGCTGGAAATCAAGAAATGAGACTTGGACATGCTCAACTTGACAAGTCGTTCTTTGGACTCGGCGAGTCCGAGGCATAACTCCCCTTTGCTGTTAGGGTTTGAAGGAACCCAGTTGGGCGCTAGAAGGGTTTTAAGAGGGTCCAAGAGAAACGTATTGGACTTAGCCTTAAACCTAGAGTTCATGGGACCCGGCGAGTGCAAGAACAGACTCAGCGAGTCCAAGGCAATCTCCTTATAGTTGAAGATGAACTCGATGAGTTGTTCATACAACTCGGTTAGTCAAGGACAAGACTTGATATCAGATGAAGGTAACTCGATGAGTTGTTCATACAACTCAGCGAGTCGGATGAAGGTTCATTCGATCTTCATATAGAAGGAGAACTCATCGAGTCGTTGCTAAACTCGACGAGTAAAGACGTAGATAAGGACGGGTAATGAGTTAGGGACTCGACGAGTTGACGGCCTAACTCGGTGAGTCGGGTCAACTGGAAGTTGACTTTGACTTGGACTTGGTTAAGGGTAAAATAGTCATTTTACCCTAAGAGTAGATATCAAGTTCTAACTGAGTGCTTTGTGGGATTATAGCCGGAGGGTTACCGGAGCAGCAGTCAGACAGTTGTCGAGCAATTTTCCAGTAGTCAGCCTTATGAGGTGAGTTACATTCTAGTAGCGGTGGGTCTACGACCACAATGTCGGCCCACCAGTAGGAGTTGTATGTTAAATGATTGTCTTTGTGATATTCATCTAGGTTTGCTACTACCTAATATGTTATGTGCTAGTATGATATGATGTTATATGCCAGTAGCAGTAGGGGATATAGTCCCCAAGACTTTCGGTCGATAGGGCCAAAGAGGGGTAGTCATACCCAGTCATACTAGATAGAATATGATTATGTGATACATGTTATGTGGTAGCAGTACAGGGGTGAAATAGTCCCTAGTATCCAGTCGACAGGATCGAAGGGGTAGGCCGGCACCCAGATATGTTGGGCAGTATCCGGTCGACAGGACCGAAGGGGTAGGCCAGCACCCAGATATGCTAGGCAGTATCTGGTCGACAGGACCAAAAGGGTAGGTCGGGCACCCAGATATGCCTGACATTATATGTATGTTATGTGATTGTAGAACTCACTAAGCTTTGTGCTTATAATTTTCAGTTTTGTTTCAGGTACCTCTTCAGCAAAGGGGAAGGAGTCGGTACGGTAGCTGCACTCATACACACACCTCATATTTTGCACTATGAGATTCCTTGGGATTGTAGTATGACATTATCACTATTTTATGATTTGGATTTCAGCCATTATGCATAGTTTTATGAGATGTAATGTTTCGACAATGCTTTCCCACGAATGTTTTAAA